TTTTTTTTTTTTTTTTTTTTTTAGCTTAGTGGTTCTGCTGCCTGCCTCGCAAGAGCAAGGTCCTGAGTTCAATCCCCTGTTTAAAAACAAAACAAACCAAAAACAGCTAAGGGCAGACATTGAGGTCACACACATTCACACACGCACATCATATCCTTTAAAGCAAGCTTCAGACTATTTCAGAGGGAGAATTAAAAATAGGAGGCAAACAGTCCATCTGAGTTTAGAGGTTAAATTAACTTGTGAGGGCAGCACAGCAGTGGAGTAAAACAAGCTTTGTGGAGCTGGAGGTTTTAGGTAACAGCCCTCAGTGGAATTCCTGCAGGGCGTGGCACAGGGTGTGGAGAGGATGTGAGAGAGGCTTAGAAGGCTGTGTGAGCCACACCAAGGAATCTGGAGTCAGCACTCCCTGCAGAGAGGAGGGGAGGCGCAAGTTGTCACAGTGAAGTGCACACCCCAAGAACTAACCACAGGTCTGGGCACAACACTTCCAGCGGCTTTGCAGTCTGTATTTTTCATCGCCAGTTTCCACCCTTTAGCAATAATTTTAATTGACCTTTCCTTGGCTCTTTCTGTTCTTTTTTCCTTCCCTGCCTTGCAGACTACATTGTTCACTTGTGTTTCCACTTCTTTTTTCTCCTCTTGCACCTTACCTCTCTTTTCAAATTTTTACTTGCTTATTTCCCAGGGCCTCTCTGCAGGACAAGGAACAGTTATCTGATTATGAGTCCCGAATGCTAGGGGCTGAAGCTGGGTCAGGCTGGGTCAGTACCCAGATGGGGCAGAGGCTGGAAGCAGGAGTGTGGACTGGGTGTGTATGCAAACTGTTCTCAAAGAGTTCCGGAAGTTCAGTTGAGGTCTGGGGGTAAATTCCACTATTAAAACACACAGGACAGACAAGAACACTGAAAGAGACATTGGAGCCAGAGCAAGGGAGAGCTTGGAAAGAAAAACAGGGAGCAGGTTATGCTAAGATAATACTAATTATCTCTCTCTCTCTCTCTTTTTTTTTTTTTGGTACGGGGGATCGAACTCGGGCCCTTGCACTTGTAAGGCAGGTGCCAGAACCACTGAGCTAAAGCCCCAGCCCTAGCAAACACTAATTATCAAGAAGAATGAAACCTGGGATGGGGAACTAGAGGAGGCAGAGGGAGAAGGAAGGAAGGGGATTAAAAAAAAAAGAACCAAGCTGTAGTTTGTATGCCCAAGATGACTGTGAACTGCATGTACTGCAAACATGTACTAATTGAATTTTTAAAAAGTTTTAAAAAAGAATTAGTGGGGAAGAGTTCCTAAAATTGCTACCAAAGATACCAATGTCCTCAAGATGAATTCTCATTGCAGTAGGGAAGGCAGAGTGTGTGTTTGGTCTGTCAGCCACAGTTCAGAGCAGAATCAGGCTGTCAGAGTGTTCCCTGAGGGGACATTACCTGACTTCAGGAACATTTTAATGCTTTTATGTAAATTAAATTTAAATTTATAAGCTTCAGTTTAAAATTAGGTGAACTTCACAACATCCTAAGCAAATCCAGATCTGTTCTTAGTGGTTTTCAATAAAATAATGCATTCTTAGTTCTTTTGTAGCACAGTTTTATCCTGAACGCTTTCAGGACAAAACATATCTACTCAGCGGAAGAATAAAGATTAAGTTTAGATTCAATTTAAGCAAAATTCAAATGAATTTTTCTGTGTTTCTACTATTGGTGTGTAGTGTTTTATTTTATATAGAAGACCAATTAAAAACCTGTGTAAACCTTTTAAAGACACAAATGCCAGGGCCAGGGGTTTAGCTCAGTGGTGCTGCCACCTGCCTTGGAAGGTCAAGGACCCAAGTTTGATCCTTGGTACTTAAAAAAAAAAAATGCCAAAGAATGTGGAGGAAGACAATCCACAAAGCTTGGGGTGACCTGAGAGGTGTGTACAGCGTGCGGGTGTTTTGGAGTCTTTCTCTCCATACTCGCTCAGCTGGACCTTGCAGCCGTAAAGCTACTAACTCTACTTCTTTGCTGTCAATGAAGGCTGACAGTTCAAAGCACATCGTGTTTATTAAAAGTACAGGAACACTTTCTCAGACTGCTTTTTGAGACATATTAAAAATGAAAAACAGATTCGATTTCTTCCAAAGATATGCTGGCTCACCTTGAGCCAGCAGAAAAGCACTGAAAGTGGTTGTAAGCATAATCAAAACCTTCAGTAGTTATCCCACACTTAACCAGTTTCCTTGGAAGCCAAATACCAACATAGATTTCTTAACAGGTTTTAAAGTTTCTGCAGTTAACAGTCACCTTCTTTATATGAAAGTCAGTTTTAAGGTAAACATGGGGAAGCCACGCAGAGATGGGAAGTTTCTGTGGCCCTGTAGCACACGTCCTCCCCGAACTTCCCTGCTCACTGGCAGCTCTGACGGTGCCCTGCCTCTGGAGAGTGAGGCCGTGCTCTGTGCCAACACAACCCGGACAGCACAGGCACCCAGGGACACGCTGTTGCTATTGTAGCTTCTGAGTCAAATTCAATGAAGGCTAAGATTATTCCCGCTTAATATTTCACATCTTACCAATGCTAACGGTCCAATCATATTCACTTTCTTCACTTTTTCCTTGTCTTGTTTGCTGTAAAAATATAATTAATTTAAAACTCACAAAATGTTTCACATTCAAACATAAATCTAAGCAGTTACATTAGTCAATTATAATATTTCAGACAGACAAAAATGATGTCCACAGTGTAACAAACACACCAGGAAGCTGCCAGGTAGGAAGGCACTGTCCAAGGTACCTGGAGGACATATGGATGGTGAGAAATGGCCAAGAGGGCAGAACAGCATCCGCCACCCAATTCAACCCTTCTTCCTCTTTACAGAGAGCAAACTTAATATCAAAGCCTACTCTCCTGAAGGATTATGGGGGCTATCTGGATGCACCTAGAATTCAGCTCCTTCTCCCCACTTTACCCCTCTGCAGAGGGAGGCCTCTGACCATCTCTCCACTGCCTTGGAGACCCAGCCAGTCTGCCCTAGCCAGTAGCCAGCAGAGCCAGCCTGGGAATGCTCCAGTCAGCTTCTGCTCTCAAACCTACAGTGGCTCCTGTGTATCTCAGAGTATATGGATCAGTGGGTTTCTCAAGGCCATTGTGCTGCTCAAAGTGAATAAATAAATCAAGCTTCTTTCTCTCCTTCTCCTCCTCTTCCTCTTCCTTCTCTCCTCCTCCTCCTCTTCTTCCTCCTTCTCTCCTCCTCCTCCTCCTTCTCTCCTTCTCCTCCTCTTTCTCCTTCTCTTCTCTCCTCCTCCTCTTCCTCCTTCTCTTCTTCCTCCCCCTCCTCCTCTCTCTTTCTCCCCTCCTTCCTCCCCTCCCTCTCTCCCCGATGAATTCTCCTTCTCCTCCTCTTCCTCTTCCTTCTCTCCTCCTCCTCCTCTTCTTCCTCCTTCTCTCCTCCTCCTCCTCCTTCTCTCCTTCTCCTCCTCTTTCTCCTTCTCTTCTCTCCTCCTCCTCTTCCTCCTTCTCTTCTTCCTCCCCCTCCTCCTCTCTCTTTCTCCCCTCCTTCCTCCCCTCCCTCTCTCCCCGATGAATTGAACTCAGGGGCACTCTCCACTGAGCTATATTCCCAGACCTTTATTTTTCAATTTTGAGACAGGGTCTCACTAAGTGGCCCAGGTGGGCCTTGAACTTGTGATCCTCTTGCCTCCGCCTCCCTCATTACTTTCTGACCATATGTCTCATTTCACCTCTGCTTGCTCCGCTGCAGTCACCCTGGTCTCCCTGCAGCGGTGCAGATCCTGAATGCATCCCATCTCAGGGTCTTTGCATGGTCACGTCCACTGGGAAGGCTCCCCCAGCCCTCCTCTCATTTCTTCCTGGTCTTTTCCATATGTCACCTCCAAAACAAGACCCAGGCTAGGGCACAGCTCATGGTAACAGCTGTGCTAGGCCCCGGGTTCTAGCCCAGCACCATGGGGTAGGGGGGTGCTTAAACAATACCTTTCCAACCATTCTGTTTGGCAAAGCACTCCCTCCTTACACTCCTCATTTCTTACAACTATATTTATGTCTTTCCACAGCATCATTACTTCCTAATATTAACTGTAGTTTTCTTATTTAGAATTCAACTACTATTGCTTATTTATTAATATATGCATTATTTGTCTGTCCACCACACGATACTGTAATGAGGGCACAGGTTATATATTTTTTAACCTAGGGTGACTTTGCCCAAGTAGCTGATAAATTTTACTCGTAAGACTCACTCTAAAATTACATAGAATTTTTACTATGATACTAGATGAACGTATGCCACTGAATATGTTCAAAAGAATGTACCACAGGCATAGGAGTAGAACAAGCACATACCCACCCTGAACTTAGTAACAAACACTGTGCTTGATAATGCAAGTGGGCTTAGCTTCCCTTGAATGTACAATCCTTGGTCTGCTTTTATAAAACTCAGTCTCACATCTACTTCATCATCTCTTATTCTTAACTCTCCATGTTCCTCTCGTGAGCTACTCTGTCTCCCCAGCAGGGGCTCTGAGTGAAGCTCCTGAGGTTTTCCTGGGTTCTGGGCACTGCCACACCCATGCAGGACAGCTCCGGCTTCACCCTATCCAACGTCCAGCCAGCTGGACACTCAAACAGAGGAAGCTGGACACTTTCTATGAATGGATCGCAGCCTTAACTACCAGCTGATAAATACCACATTTTTCTAATAGGAGAAATATCAGCCCTCTGCTTTTCTAAATCTGTATGGCAAATCTACATTTTCTGTGGATAAATTCCATAACACTTAGAAGTAGAAGCAAAATAATGCTTCGGTGTAAGCATCAGAGGCACATTTTCAGTTAGCAATCAGGCTTCTTGTAGCCAAGGACAAACTACAGAACCTAATAAGCCAGGTCCACAGTTCCACTGTCCTGGCCTTAACTCAGGCTGTAATGGCCTCATAAATGATTTGAGGCCAAAGACGGACTTGATTTACTCTTCCGCAGGGGAAGAGGAGATGCACATCAGGGACCTGGCCTGCCTGCCCTAGCAGAGTGTGAAGTGGACCAGAATCGGGCAGCTGAGGTTTCCTGCACCTGAACAGAATCTCCTGTATAAGCACAGGTCAGGGCAGGTTGGGGCCCAAGTGCCAACCCATCCCACCAGAGGGAGATGAAGGGGGGTTTTACTTCAGGCCAGGTGCAGAGCACAGCAGCCACACAGAGGCCAGGCCACTATAGTGATGGAAAAGTGGGCCCCGGGAGGGAAAGGGCAAGAGCCCTCACAGAGGAGGAGGAGGGTCTGCCTCAGTTTAGGGAGAAGGGTGGGGTCTGCTCCAGTGCAAGGAGCAGGGCTCTGCTCTGGCCCAGGGGAGGAGTGGTGCTCTGCTTCAGACCGGGGGCAGAGGCTGGGCCACCAACATGGGCAGTGGGCACTGGGTTGGAGTTCTTCCTAGATGAAGGTAGCTGCATGGCTGTTGTTGGTCTGCCAGCCACCGAATGAGGCAGCTTCCTTTCCATCCCCTGGACCCAGACCCACCTGTAGCCACACTGGTCACTGCCGCCGTGTGGGAGTCTGTTCGTCTTGGCCTCCAGCTCCATCTCTGCCTGGGATGAACAGCAGCCTCAGTGTCCTGTGCTGGTCCCACACCCCCAAGTCCCACTGTCCCCGGCCCCCACCGTCCTAGGCTTCCCTCCCTAGCTGTCCACAGCCTGCCTTCTCCCTGTACATCTGGTCCTGCTGAGGGTCAGAAGCACGTGGCCACGGCAGCCTGGACTTTGTTCCCCTGGCTTGGTCCTGCTCCACCCTGGCCCCACAGACGCCTCCCCTGCAAGTGACTGTCACACCCCCTCGGTTTTCACTGTGGGGACAATGTGGGTGTCCCAGGCTCTGGGGCTCAGCAGTACTCAGGACCTGTACCAGGCCCCCATTTTGTGTCCCCAACTCTGGTCTAGGCATCACAGTGGCCCAATGGAGGGATGGGACAGCTGTCCATACCCTTCACTGTGCTCAAGTCCAGAAGGGACTTGGCCGGCTCTCCTAATACAAACCCGCATTGTTACAGAGGAAGACACTGATGCTTGGAGCAGTGGAGCCCTGCTGGACACTGCAGCAGCCTCCTGAGCCAGTACCAGGTTCCCCTGTGCTCTGGGCCCCTGACTGACTGCTCTGCTCCTCCCCAAAGGGAAGGTTCAGGTAGCCAGCAGCAGGCATGGTGGCTTTGAAGTCAGTGAGCAGCAAGCAGAACTTCACACTTCATTAAGTATGAACTTGGACTCTGCTCATTTCTCTAGGCCTCATTGTCTTCCTCTGTAATGTGAGAATACAAACATCTCCCCTCACCTCTCAAGGAGGAATCATTGAGTTAAGTGCTAGGTTGAAGTACCTAGTGCTGTACCCAAAACAGTACTTGTGGTACAAATACAGCTCCCTGCCTCCAATCAGGTGGCAGAATTACGTGTGGTTCCTCGGTCTCAGTCTTAGCACACAGTGCTGGCTGTATGGCTTGGTCGGGTTGCAGACAGTCTGAAAGCCGAGTACAGTAGCGAGAGGGTTTCCAGACAGATTCTGGCGGGGCTCTGTCTCGCAGTTCACCGGCTGCCTGATTTAGGCAGGTAACCGAGCTCTTGATTCAGCCTCTGACTGCAAAATAGCGGTTTGACAGGATTAGAGATAGTGTGTACAAAGCACCCCGCACACAGGAAGCACCTAATAAATGCTGGTACCATAGTTGAAATTCAGAATGGGCAGAGGAGAGGACCCTAAAGAGGACTGGCAGCTCTGGCATTCATCTCGAGCACCATCAACTCGAACCGCCTCGAGCCATGGTGGAAACTGACCAGAAATGGGCTGCAGGAGTCACCGGAACAAAGGCTCACTGTGGAATTGTGTAACAGGCAAGAATTTACTGGACTATTTCTCCTCAAAACCTTTTCCTCTTTCTCCAGCCTGCCTTAGTCTGGAGGCTCCGTCTTCCATTGGTAGAATGCCTTCCTTCCTGGAGCCAGAATGGAGTACAGACAGTACAGACTGTCAGTGCCAGGCACTGTGAGACTACAGCAAGTGGAATGGTTTGGATATAAGGCTCTATAGTGACCAAGACATATGAAACTCCAGAGATATAAGGGGATGAGAAATGCTCTTTTGCCTCTAATAAAAGCAAGCTTGGGGATGTAAAAAGCAAATCCTTAAAGAAGGAGATTCTGAGCAATCCACTAGACACCGATGGAGAATGAGCTGTGCCTCAGCCAGCTCACAAAGGAGTCTTTGCAGGGGCTGTGAGCTCTGTAGGAGGAGGTGTGGGGGCTGAATCCAGACAGTTTCTCAGGAGAAGCCAGGCCTACATGGTGGTGTTTGTGTGTCACCCGAGGCTAAGGCCATACGCTCAAAAGCACAATCTTACACCATAACCACGAGTGCTTTTCTGCAGTGAAAATCCCAGTAGTACAGTGCTAGCCTGGTTCACGAACTTAATTCTTTGCATGAGTCTATCACAAACCAAATCAAATTCAACAGTTAGGATCAATGTTGACCTTGGGGAAATCTGATTTAGTGTAATTATGGAAAAATAATTTTAAAGGTTTTTAGAGACATTTATATTATATTTCTAAAAGGAGATTTATTTGAGAAACATCTAAAAACTCTACAGAGCACATCATAGGCCACTTGTCACAATAAAATAGACAATTATAACATATTATATTCCTTTTCTTCTGGCTTTTTTTTTTTTTTTAAACAGGGCCTCCCTATGTTATACAGGCTGGCCTTGAACTCATGGCAACCTCCTGCCTCAGCACCCCTGAGTGCCGGGATTACAGGCATGCACCACCATGCTTGGTTGCAATTATAGCATGTTTCTGCATACTACCAACCACATGGATGTGACAGTTATGACCTATTCATAAATAGGTTAATAAGCAAAATATATAAACATATACTACTACTGTCTTTGATAATTGTATGTACCTAGCTTCATCACTGTGTTACATGAAATATGGTGACAGACAACCTAAGGCTTCTGGAAAGATCAATCAGAAACCTTATATCATCACTGTGTATGTGGTCATCCAAATGGCCAAGAACTCAAGGACTTTTAGCTTTCACAAATTCAGATGCTCAAAAGGACATCTCTTCATTTACTGAAGAGGTTTCAGTGTTTTTACATACTCATCTAGTGCTTATATACATGGAGTCAACACTGTAATAATGTGATTTCTCAGAGCTGAATTTGCCCCAAAAAGCATAAAATTAATTACAGCTCTCTAAACATTTAAACAGCTAATACCCCAGTATTTGAAAAGACGAGATGAAATACATAACACAGCAAATCGCAAAAACAACAACAACAACAACAACAAAAAACAAAAACAAAAACTAAGACAATTTAAATTAGTGAAAAAATAAAGAAACAAAAATCTAAAAGTTTGACTTTCAGAATTTCAAGATTTAAGGTTTTAATCTTTCAGGACTACCGTTTTTGGTGTTTCAACCTTCAGGATTATGGCCTTTAGGATTATGATCAGCACAAGTTTATCTGTGCTACAGCCAATTCAGGGGCCCTTTTAAATTTATTTGATAGAAGTGCAACAGCTCCTTGCCTGGTAATTCCCTCCATAACTCATCTATCCACAAGCTGTAAGCTGAACACACTGTGATGAACTATACTTCCCCATTATACCCAGGTAGTGAGAAATCTTAATTTTCTCTGTGGTAGGGGATTGAGATACCTCTGAATTTATGTAGGGACCTGTAATTAATATTCAATCTACTCTTAGGCTTTTTCCTGTCTTTCCTTTACCATCTTTCTTTTACATTTGCATTTTTGCCTTCTTTTGGGTGAGTTGAATGTTTTTATTATTAGATGTCTTTACTGTTAGCTTATCAAGTATGCATTAAGAATCTGTTTAGCATTTACCACTTTCATAAAGATTAGGACAGGCATCTTTGACTCATCACTGTAGCTTTTCTTTTTCTGGGCAATGCAAGGATTTTAGAACTCTTACACCTCATTTGTCCACCTCTGGCTTTTACACTATTGTCATGCACTTTAATTTTCTCTCCATATTTATGCTCTTATTGGACTATTTATAAGTTGATATTCATTTAAATTTATCTCAAATCTACAATAGTGGATTTTTTCCTTTTACCTAAAGAATATTGTTTTTGTATTTTCCTTTAGCTGGTAATAAATTTTCTAGGGATTTTTTTTTTTGTTTTTTTTTTTTTTGGTACTGCGGATCAAACTTGGGCCCTTGTGCTTGTGCAGCAGGCAGCAGAACCACTAAGCCAAACTCCTGGCCCTTCTTGTGATCTCTTTTTTTCTGAAATTTATTTTACTTTTATTTTGAGAAATTCTAGGTTATGGTGGGGGGCTTCCTGGATACTGGAAAGCTGCTGTGAAACTACAGTAATTAAGGAAATGTGTGTTGGGCAGAGACAATGCAAGTAGGGAAACAGCAGAACTTGAAAGTGGTGGAGATAGAATTCCAACCCAGACAAGGCCACTACACTGACAGGGACAGGGGAACGAGGAAGAGCATGAGTCCAACAGGCTAGAAAACATGTCCGCTCTTTCACAAATCTGCCCACCCACTGATCCTATAATGTTTCACTTTTGTGCCCATTCTTCCTGCAGGATGCAACCTTCAGGTACAGACGGATCCTTGCCCTCTGTATCTGGCTGGCCTGGTAAAACCATAACCAGGGCTGATTTAAATCCCTCACCTACTGCAGCCAGCATCAAGCAGAGTATGTCTGGTGAAAAATACAAAAGCGTCTGTGTGATCTCAGGATGGCCTACACTATGTTCTTGCTGCATTTAGGCTTATTACCTATTGCCCAGTGTGTGGCGTGCAAGGTTCCCAAGGACGAACATCATGTTCTCTTTTCTTCAGTGTGCTCCAACACTTGAAAACATTGCCTTAGTTCGTTGACTCTCCTACTCTCCTAGATCGTATTTCATACATTTGTCTCCTCAGACTTCTGTCCTTCTTACCGTCTTCACAGTGCTGAACTGCTGGGCTTCTTCGTTCACTGCTGAAATCGAGGTATTCGGAAGGGAGCTGCAGTCCTCTCCCACCAGGACATGCGCCTGCACACCACTGTCTGTCCCCACACGCCACCTTCCCACCCTTTTCTCTAAATGAATAGCTCCGGTCCCTATGTTCAGCCAGGATCCCATCTCTCTCACCTTCTTAAGGAGCCACCTTTTGCCTCCACCCTGTGTCACCAATTTCCTGTCCCTGTTTGGTCATTGTCCCCTCACACATAGTTACTTCTTCCTTCTTGGAAAAGAATCTCTCTTGACCCAGTTCCCCGGCTGGCTTTTCTATCCTTCTCTCCTTCCCTTTGAAGATAAACTTCTTGGGAGAATTAAATCACTTTCTCTATTTCCAAGATCTCTGTTCTCTCTTAAATTCATTTTAAACAGGAGTTTGACCTTTCACACTACTGAAACTCCTCTCCTCAGGGTCACTGACAATGTCTACATTGCTAAATCAAAAGATCAATTCTTTGCCCTTATTTCACTTGATAAATCCAAGCATTTGATAGATTCATCACTTCCTCTTCCTGAGTATGCTTCTTTCACTTGGATTGCAGGAGAACACGTTTCATGATTTCTCAGATACTTTCCTGGTCCTTTCCTTTGATGTCCTTCCTCTTCCTTCGGCTTCTAAAGTAACACCGAGAGCTCCATGCTCACTCCGGGGACTTCTTGTCTATCTATTCTCACTCCCTTTGCTGTCTAAGCCTGGCTCACAGCTC